GATCTCCGTAAGGCACGTCCCAAACCCTTGACTCAAGGCATCGAGTACATCCTTCAAAGAATCTTTCAAAGAATCCTTCACGATTCTTTCAATATCCTCTTTGGTCAACCCACCAACGTTCGGTCTGACCTCAGCCTCTTCCTCTGCAACTTCCTTCAAAGAATCTTTCAAAGAATCCTTCAAAGAATCCTTCACGATTTTTTCAATATCCTCTTTGGTCAACCCACCAACGTTCAGTCTGACCTCAGACTCTTCCTCTGCAACTTCCTCTGCATCTTCCTCTCGCTCTTCCTCTTCATCTACCAGCTCTATACGCTCTCTACGAGCTTTCTTAAGAGGTCTTGGACTCTCTTTCTTAAATAGAACTATCGCTTTCTTCCTTTTCTTTTGTATCGGCCTTCTCCAAGTACCAGTGACTTCCCAGCAATCCATGGTCCACCTCCATGGTTTCTTTATGTACATGAGTTTAATTATGTTTCCCGCGGCCGGATCATCAGCATCAGAGTCCCATTTTGGAAACATTTCAGCCATGCCCTTCTCAAAAAAGTTCATAGCACTAATCTGCAGTAAGTAGAAGATATAAACTTAGATATTTGACGGATTAAGAAATATGGAAAGAAAAGAATTCGCAGAAAAACTTATGATTAAGTCGTCTGGGTACTCTTCCCAGACGACTTACTAATAAGTAGTCTGCTAAGTCATCCAGCTGGAAGACTTTTCAGACGGCCTCTTTTTAAGTCATCTGCTAAGTCGTCCAGCTGGAAGACTTTCCATACGACTTAATCATAAGTCGTCTGCTTCTGGAGTAAAGTAAATACCTGTCTTTCAATGGCATCTTTAAAATGCCGTCCTTTGCCACCCTTGTAAGCTAGTATCGGTGGAGAGCTGTTTGGTATGGGCTGACCATAATAAGCACCCAATTTCGGCAAAGCTGTGTATACCCAGACCTGGAGAGCATGTACAAACCCATCGATGGTGTAACAACCAGTTAAATATTTTCCCTTCACAGAGTCCATCAACACCTTAAACGCGACTCTCCCCTATGGATAATTTTCAAACCGTTCTAGATCCATCACTAGCCTAGCCAGAGAAGCCCGTGTATGGGTTGAATACTTCCTCCCTTCAATGTATCCAGCCAAGATGGCAAGGTACCCGAGCCGCTTGCGATCATCCGGAGACCAGTCTTCGCATCTCTGAAATGCATCTATTATCTGATCAGTAGTTGGCCCAGCTTCGACATTAACTCCCAACANACTCCCAGAAAGCAACCAACTCCTTTGTAACAGGACAGTTTGGTCTCTCAATGTCCTGAATGTACTCGCAGTTTAGACCAGTGAGGTATTCAAACTCGACCAGTGAAAACCTCAAAGGTTGTGGACCAGCAAGACTCCACAGCTCATACTTCTTCTTTATGTCGAGCTGGAAACAGAGTATGTAGTGAACCAGCCTTGACGCCCATTCAAAATCCAGCTCTTGGAACTTGATGAAAACTCCCAACTTAGACTCCTTCAGCTCTTCATATTCTTCATCATTAAGAGCATCCCTTAGAGCAGTATACAACTTCAAAGACGGATGATACGTAATGCTATGCTGAGCTCTAGGCTCTTGCCCTAGTGTATGTAACCTACGGGGGAGTTCGGGAATATTCTGCAAAAAAATCAAAGAAAACCATCTCAAACACACAACCATCTAGTATAACATTTTAATTATAAGTCTGGAAGACTTTCCAGACGACTTATAACTAAGTCGTCTGTCAAGTCTTCCAGTCGAAATACTTATAATGGAAGACTTTCCAGACGACTTAATATAAGTCTACCAAGACTTCCAGTAGAACATTTGAAAGCTGACCTGACAATTCGGAGAAGATGTACTCGCCTTCGACATAGCGGTTATAGAACTGCAAAAAAAGACGTGAAAAAAAAGAAGCGCGATGAGAACGACGGTAACCGTAAAATATCCCCAATCTTTGAAACCCTAATTTGAAATGAAAATATCCACAACATCCAACCTAACTAAACAACAAGTCCACTGAAATCCCCAATTTTTGAAACCATAATTTGAAACCAAAATTTCCCGAAATCATTGAAAACTCAAAACCAAACGGTAAAAATAAAGGAAAACAACATTCATCCTAATAAAAACCCATTAAATCGGCAAGAGACGCCATCGATTTACCTTGGTCTTGTATAGGATCGAAATCGCCTCGAAATCGCCTCGAAATTACCTTTGAGAGAAACAAAGTTAGGGTTTTCTGAATTTCGCGAAAAGTGCGTAAAAAAAAAAATCTTCTTATATATGTCCGGTAAAAAATCCGGTTAGGTTTAAAAGTAATTCGGTAAAATCCGGTTTGGACGACTTATTATTAAGTCGTCTGTTGATACTATACATCCGACTAAGTCGTCTGCCTTATTAAATATATTTACCAGACGACTTAATTATAAGTCGTCCAGACCCTAAACCCTAAACCTTAAACTAAATTGACTAAATTAACTATTAACCATGTTATAAAATCAAATTATACTTAAATAAAGTATACTATATATAGAAATAAACACACTTTGGTAAATTTTTAATTTTTCAAAAAAACATTTATGCTTTCGAAAATCTGACCCTAAGAAACACATACAATACTACAACATATGTTGGCAAACCCAAAACCAAAGAATATCATCACTCACTACTTTCACTCATCTATGTTAAAAATAATTAAATTTTGTTCTATCTTAATTTAT